CCTCTTGTATCAAACCAGTAAGAGGTTCAAATGAATTGTAGAATTTGTGGCACAATGAGTGAGTGGTGACTGGAACAGAGGCAGACACTCCTTGGATTGCTCTCCAGTCACCAACTTTAGGAAACTGCCTGATGTCTCATTTTGAGACCTGGGTCTCTAAATCTGAATTTATGCCTCAGGATAAACTGCTTAAGCTCCATGTTTTCCCTGCTCCAAGCAGTTCGAACACTCAAAAGCTGATGAACAACAATTGTTATTTTCCAGAGGAGGGAAGGTTTTTAAGAAAAGTTTGAATCAGACCCGCAGAGTGGGAATTGAGAGTCCTGGGTCTCCTATTATGTGACACTGGCAATTACCTAAACTTTCTGCACCTTTTCTGTATCACAAGATTGATAACATTAGCCATACAAATGACCTGACTTTAATGTGACCATGGAGTGAGCTCCCCAGCCAAAGAGCATTATTAGTCCATGATATAACAGCATTGTCATTTTGAAATACCATTTTAGGCAACATATTTCAGTGCAAGTCAATAAATATCTATTGGGCACCTACTGTAGAGATTTAGAGAAGAGTGAGACAAAAGCTCAATATTTAAAGAGTTTTCAGTATGGTGGCAGGAGTAAAATAAGAATACAAATTATTACAAATAAGGTAGAATGAATCAGAAATTATGAGTATTAAGTGATATTTTAAAAAGAAAAGAAAGCATATTTTCTCAAAGATAACAGTAAGCCATTATGCAGAGGCTCTTTGATGTGGATGTTAAACAATGGACAGGATGCATATAACGTGTGTAAAAAGAAAAGTTTTCTTGTTAGGGGGAGTAGAATGAGAAAAGACCTGAGAACAGACAAACTCAGGAAAAGAACAAGCGGTCTCTTTTGGCTAGATTTGAGAAATGTTAGGAAATGGTAGAACATAAATTTATACAAAGTGGGACCATATTGGGTAGTATTTTCAAAGTTCAGGCTCAGAAATTTGTTTAAGATTAATTGAAAGCAAGGGTCAAAAACTTCAGAGATTATTATATTAGTCCAGCATTAGGATAGAAACAAATAAACAAAAAAGAATAAATAAGGAACATTGGGAGTTTTAGACATAAGAAATATCAACGAGAGTAGGCAACTGTTTAAATGAGGAAAAGGGAAGTCCAGAGAGTGTTCCATGGCTTTCAGTCTCAATGACTGTGAGGACACTGCTCTCTACTAGAAGAAAGAAAATCATAGGGGAAAGCGGCTTGGGGGAAAAAGTAATACTTTTAACTTTGAATATGTTGAGTCTGAAAGGGTAAAGTCAACACCCAAGTGGACATGTCCTATTGGCAGTATAAATGCAGGAGAAAACTTGGGTACTAAACAGAGAAATCTGTCCAGTGGCTACTAATAACATCTGAAGCCACAAAAGTGAGTGATTTCCCAGGGACAGATAATTGACAGAGAAAGAACTAAGGAAAGCACTTTTTTAGAGCACTAACCATAGAGATTCCATTCTATATAAAACAGTCATTGTTGTTCCATGACACATGAAATTCATTTCCTCATGACTTTGGTGGGAACAATCAATGATTTCATATCAATTAAATAGTATCTGACTCCTAAGACCATGGAGGTTTAAGCTATTCAAGTGTCCTCTCTACCTTTTCTCTGTGAAGTTCACACACTCTTCTGGGCAGCCACCTGTTGTCCCTCTGTTGTTAATCTCTATTCTACAATGTGATGAAGACTGCTAGCACCCATTTCCTCTCTCCATTCAATTTTTCATTCATTCATCAATAAATATGTATTAAGATTATAATCTACTATGTGCCATTCACTGTTCTAGGCATTGAAAAATCACCAATGAACAAACTCCCCATGAAGCTTACATTCTAGTGGAAGAGACAAATAATCAGTCAACAATGAACAACATTAATAAACCAATCAGCAAACATTAATGTTTAAATGGCAGAGAAGTGAGGGCTATGAAGAAAAAATAAATTAGGGTAAGGGACTAGAGAAGATGATGGGAGCAGTAATATACAGGATGGTCTGGGAAGGCCTCTCTGAAGAAGATACATTTGAACAGAGACATTTTCAAGCAATGTGAACATCAAGTGCAAAGTCCTTTGAGTAAGATTATGTTTGACTGAGAGATTCTGGAGTGTCGATAGTAAGAACGAGGATAGGGAATCATATCAGAGAGTTAATGAGAGTCAGATTATATAGTGTCTACCAGGCAGTGAGAATAAACTGTGAGGATACTACTTTTAAGTATATATTTTAAGTATTTTATTTTAAGAATGCTGGGAATCCAGTGGAGGATTCTGAGCTGTGGAGTACCATATTAAAAGTTTTGCAAAATCCAACAGTGCTCTCCACCCCCAAGAACAACAATAAAAAGACCTTGAAGCTAAACAAAGTTGTTTAACTTAACCTTTTCCGAATTCATCTGAACATGAATGAAACCATTTTTGGCATGGCACCTATTAGAAACCCACAAAACATATACGATGGGTTATGCTGCTCTAGAACTGTGCTTCTCAAACGTTAATATGCTTAAAAGTTAGTTGGAGAATGTGTGTGTTAAAATCCAGATTCTTGGAGCCCAAACCCAGAGATGAGTCAGTAAGTCTTGGAGGTGGTTGGAAAACTTACATTTCTAATAAGCACTCAGTGGATACTGATGTCACCAATCCATGGACTACAAACATAAATACATATTAGGAACTTACAGAACTAGAAATGTGATTAGCATAGTAATACAATAAAATCTAACTATGCTGTGTCTTTGACCTTATGCTTATGTCTTACCTTTTCTTATTGCTAAAAGCAACATATGACCATCAGATTCTATCTTTCATCTATGAAAAATGAGCCAAAGATTAAAGCCTAGGTCTCAGTAGCTCTTGACTTCAAGATGTTTTTCCCTAGATTAAGACATACTCTCTTACCCTGTTGGTCTTCTCTTATTACCTCATCAATGGGGATTCAGCTGATTAATGAGGACCATGCAAGCTTCCAGAAAAGACCACTTAGTTAGGCTTAGTTCCATTGGTTTACAAAATACTATTAGTCCTTTTTTTTTGAGACCTAGGGAAACATTGCCAATAACAGGAAACCAATACACTCTCTAGTACAAAGCTTATTGTACTTCAGCACCACCAGCAATAATTTTTAAAATATCACTGAGTCTTAATAAGAGTCGTGACATGTATTAGCCCCAATCAATCAAAGCTTTCAATAAAAGATTACCATAGCTACTACTTCTATTGGGCATCAGCTCACTAAGCATTTAATAGTACCTATATAGGAACTTCTAAAGGCTTTCTATAGAAAAACCTAAGCCTCTCTAAGAAAGATACTAAGCATTTTCATTTCTTGTAAGTGGGGACTTCTACTTTCCATAGGTAGATTCGTAGTAAAAGAGCAAAAGATAGCACTAAAAATGTCTGAGGAAGAATGTTTTTTTGGAAATTAGACAGAACTCAGAAAATTTTAATAACAATAAGGGAATTCTAATGAAACTTGAAAATATGTGAATTATAAGAAGGTGTCAATTAAAACAGAATAAAGAATTGTACTATATTTATTTGACTTGTAGAAGTCATCCCTGTCCCTATGAAAGGATTTGAAATTTGACAAACTGACCATGTTCCTGCCACTAGACTAAGTGGATCATAAATAACTTGCTAACCAGCTATGGAAAACTGCATCTGTGCCTATTCCAGCACTAAACAGATCTTGCAAAGACAAAATGATAAAGGAACTTAGCCCTCTGTCTCCTGGAGTCAACACTAGCCTGGGGCAAACCCACAAGGCACTCTTTCACAGAATTACTTGCACAGTCAAGAGAGACTTTCTAGGGAAATGGTATGAGATCTGAATGAGCAGGACTGAGACGAAGCAAAGTGGTACAAAACACCCATCACCCTTTCCACAGCCTAAGAGCTAACAGTCCACCATTCTTCGTGTAGGAGGATAGGACCCCTGTGCAATACTAAAGCGTGTGCCTGGGGGCCTGG